GGTGGTGGATGCCCCATCCCTGGAAACATTCAAGGTCAGGTTGGACGGGGCTCTGAGCAACCTGGTCTTGATGAAGATGTCCCTGCTCATTGCAGGGGGGTTGGACTAGATGGCCTTTAAAGGTCCCTTCCCCAAACTATTCTACGATTCTATGTAATATTCATGAATGGTTGTGGAAGCTAAATACCTGCTCCAACCCAAACTATTCTACGATTCTATGTAATATTCATGAATGGTTGTGGAAGCTGCAAATACCTGCTAAGTGGAAACCTCACTGGAACGCTTTGGCAATATGCACCCAGGCACACTGGGCTGTAAATAAAGGAGAGTGGCTTCTCAGGGACTTTGCACCACCATGCTGCAGGTGTGTTCGGAATGAGTCCAATATGCAGTAATTGACTTGCTGGTTATTGTTTTCAGGAAAAATCACAGATGTATCTTTTTGTTGTCATACTGGACTCCAGAAGGTAGAGCACATCCACAGGCTGTGCTGACTTGACCCTTGGTACAACTAATGGATGGAAATTATTAGTAAAGGATGGGAACTCTCTGAAACAGAGTGGTGGTTGAAAGACTAGGAAGTTTACCTTTAAGCAGCAGGTCGTATTTTTGTTAGGAAGATCCTTTCTCCAGCTTCTTATTTCCTGCATTTTTGTGGTGCTGAATGCTGAGTTACAAAAAAGCTAACTGGTTTTGCAGATAAAGTCAAATTTGTAATTCCCATTTCAACCTGCTGAGGAGATTGTAGAAGGAGGGCTTCAGAGCTATTGGAGGGAAGTGGATGGAAACCTGGGCTATTCTGAGTTTAAGGTAGGTTTCTGGGAGGGGCAGACCTGAGGGGGAAAGCTTGCAAAAAAACTTGGGGGGATCCTGTCCCTGCTCTGACAGATCAAACTTCTCAGAGGATTGTGCAAGGAGGGACAAAGCTAGCCGAACTCAATCCAAGAGCCAGAAATGCTGAAAGCATTGAGTGACTGAGTCTGAGCTGGCTTTTCAGAAGAATCTGTTTTTACCAAACTACCTTGCTGTTTTGGGATTGCAGCTGGGTATGATACCAGGTAGCAAAGCTTTCCCTGGAGTACTTTTAAAAGTTAAAAAAAAAAATAAAAATTGTGCACATGAACCTAATACAGAAATATTTCAACCACCTCTGCAATGGAAGGCACATTTGAAATATACAGCCAGGATAGTTCTGGTGTACTACCAGGTGATTTTCTAAAAAGATTACTTTATCCATTTATCATGCACTGTATAGTTCTGGTGTACTACCAGGTGATTTTCGAAAAAGATGACTTTATCCGTTTATCATGCACTAACTTAGGGGCAGTAGCTGGGGTTTTTGGTCTAGCGCACCACAGATTTAGAGCTGATAGTTATCAAGCTATGAGGCTGTCTATGATTATTCGTGTATTTTTAGTTGGTTAGTGTGCACCACTGAATGATTCACAGCAGTGACTGTGATGCTGACGTTCCACATATGAGCTAAGGTACAATCTGTAAAAAGAAGAAAGTTTGCACTTTCTGGAATGAGTGAAGAAGTTATTTTTATATGAGGGAGGGAAGATCATAACAGGATTGTTTGTAGTTGAAGCAGAATGCATCTCTCTTCTCATTCATGGTACTCTTTCAGATACCGGCCAGTGTACAAAACGTAACTAAAAACAATTCTAGCATACCTTCTAAGAATAAAACGTTGGACGACTTGTTGCCATACGTGAATTAATACAGAAAATGATAATAGGGCTTATTTTGTGGGGGAAGGGGAAGAGACAGAACTGTACCAAGTTATCAATAGTAACTTCATAGAGCTCGGTGGACTGTGACAGCTATTTCAGAAATGGTGTTTTTCAAGGTTTATTGTACAGAACTACAGCCTTATGTATTATCAGGAATATACGAGATCTTCCTTGTTCTGAGAAGACAATTTTTTGTTAAACAAGGCATACTTTTCTCATGCTATACTAATAGCATGTTTCAGAGAGTTGTTTGTTACTACAAAGGTTTAACTCATTGTCTGCTTGATTATTTTAAAGACAAAACCCAAAACCTACAATTTAAGTCTAAAAAATGTACTGAAATCAGGTGTTTCTTTTTAATTTTTGACAACATATCATTGTTTACTGTGATGATACTACAATTCTTTTGGGAAGGAGTGTTCTATACATTGGCTTGCTGTTTTTCAGTCATATATGACCCTGATATATTCAATCAGTAATTCCCTGAGCCATCCGTTGGATGAAATATGCAGTATGAGTATATAGAAAGATTAGGAACATGCATATATTCAAAGATCATGCTTGGTTGGAGAAATTTTTTGGTATTCTTAGTACTCTCTTTTTACAAAAGCTTCTTTTTCCTTCTCTTGTGTTTTAGATATTGACGAGTGTGAGAATGACTTCTACAATGGGGGTTGTGTCCACGAGTGTATCAACATTCCAGGCAACTACAGGTGTACATGCTATGATGGGTTCATGTTAGCCCATGATGGCCACAACTGTCTTGGTAAGTAGTGAATGCTGGCAAGAAAGTTTTGTTTCATGGCTGTGGTAAGAAGGCCTGATCTGCTTGCTGCATTTTGTCATCTGGTATGTTTTCAGTAAAGACTTGATCCAGATCACACTGAGTAAGTTCGAACCTGTCCATTGACTCCAGTGTGGTTTAGACCAGACCCTTAAAGTTGGTACTCTTAATCGTAACATACTCAAATCAGTTTGTCCATCTTTAATATTGCTAACCCCTCCCCCTGACCTCCAAAGCCTGTGCCGGATGTTTGGGCTTCTTTTTTAAGAAAAGTAATCTGTCCCATCTACTTAAATATATTTTGTCTGTTTCTTCCAACTTTTGTAATTCCAGTCATATCTTTAAAGCTCCCCCTCCCCTTTTTTCCCTTTTAGGGTAACATAGTTCTAGGATATGCTGTATGAACAGAAATTACAGAATGTCAAAAGTGCAAGTGCGATGAAGGAATACTTGGACAATAAAACAGGGCAAAGAAACAGTTATCAGTAATAGCTGTTTACAAAGGGGAGGGACACAGCCATGTACAGAGCAGGATCTTAATTGCTTCAGCAGTCTGAGGATTTTGGGATCTGTTTTTTGATTCATGTCCATTGCTCTGGTTTAAATAGGTTGGGTTTATCCTATAAGCTAAAAAACATATGTTTTGTTTTGAAATTTCTTCACACCAATTACCTGGAAATGAACTTTGACTGCTATATCCAGTTTCCCATACCTGCTTACTTGGTAGTCATTTTAGCTAAATCCTAGTGCCTAGGGACTATCTTTCCTAATATTCCCAATATAAATGCAATGACCAGTGTTTGGTACAGTCCCAAATTCATTTCAAAGCTTTGTTTATAAAACAGTGCAGAAAAGGGGTATTTTTTCTGTGTCATGCAGCACCTTTACTTTGGTAAAAACTGAGATTCTTTGCAATAAAAGTCAAGAAATCAGGTAATGAACCAGAAATAATATAGTCCAGTAACACCAGTCTGCACTCACTGAAGCTATGGAACAACTAGAATTTCTGAGCAAGGATTTGGTTAGCCTTTCAGTAGATGTATTTCCTACTGGGTTCATTTTCAAACTGAGTAATATTTGTTCAGATGGATTATATATCCTGACCATTGACAGGCTTTTGACTCAAACTTCCAAATTTTATTTGTTATAGAACAGACTAAATAGATTTATTCGCCTCAGCCTGAGGTGGTCAAATGATTAATTGTGCAAGAGGTATTTCTTATACAAAGAGCAGCCAGACATGCATTTAAAAAAGAAAGAAAAACTCTATTTATACTAATGTGCATAAATATCTCTTAATGAAACAGGACACAAACATAATCAAATAGTTCAACTATTTGGAATTCAAATAACTGTGCATGTGCGTTGTTTCAAACAGCTTGCTATTTTCAACTTTGTTTCCAAATGATTCCCATAGTAGTAGGGAAAAGTAGGTTTGCAAGTACGAACAGCAAAAGGAGTGACCTGATAAAGGATGAACCCTTCAGGAGATCTGTGGGATTTTTTTGGACCCCTGCTGTCTGTGTTGTTGCTCTCTGGTCATGAAACATACAGGCTGGATCTACAGAGATAGCCAAATTTCTAATTTTCTTTTCATTAATTTTGGCCACTTGGTTTTTTGGGGAAAAAAAAAGGCCTACGATAATATAAACCATTGTGCTTAACAAGTGGCTACGGTTGAAAGTATTGATCCAAAGCTTGCCAAGAGATCTTTCCGGTTTTTTAGAATTGGTGTCTGCCCATACCCATGGTCTACTCTGAGCTGACTTTTTGTGTTACCCCAAAAATGTTTGGAACCATGTTGCTTCTAGAAGAGGTTCAGTGAACAGATGAGTGGGAATAATAACAAAGGGCTCCCTTTCTCCCAGTGTGCAACTTTAGGACACTAAAAGAGGTCACAATTGCTTTTCTAATTTTGGGAACACGGACTGGGGAATTTTCTATTCCACAAATGCAGATTGAATATTTGCAACTAATGAATGGTCTTTGATATGTCTCAGTAAAATAACTGCTTTTATTTAGAGGCACTGAAAAGGGAATCAAGGCACATTCCTCTTTCTGCCTTTAAAATTTCAGTGAGTTTGCTGAGGACGAAAGTGTCTGGTTGTAAGGTCTCAGACTGAAGTTTTTAATCCTGACAGTGGCCATGCAAAACTTGCTATGGCTGCCTGTTGCGTGATAACTCAGGTTTGGGACACCATTGCTAGAAAAGAGAGAACTTCATTTTTCTGTCATCATTTGGTCTCTAGCTGGCTGCTGCCGTTACCGGTCATACTGACTGCTGGGATAGCCTGTTTGTGCCCATTAGCACAGCATCAGTTTTGAAAAGTGGGACGTTCTAAGCTTTTCCCTTCTGGACTAGTGGTATTTCCCTTCACTTATGCTACCAGAAATGTGTAAATGCAGTTGGCTGTTTTTAAGAGGATGCAGTGAGGTCTCAAATCAAAAACAAACCTTGTATTTGCACATGATTAAATTAGTATTTCTGTAACCTTTTGGAATATTTTCCCAGCATGTAAAACTTGGTTAATTTATTCCAAAGATATTTTTTTTTTTCCCCATGAGGAAATTAGGTATTGAAAAGAATTAAAGTTTTGATGAGTCCACTGGTTTCCACCTGTTCTCGCTTTTTGAGAAACCACTTATTTTTCATGGATTATAAGGAGACAAAGAACTCTTCATAAGATTAGTGACAATGTTTTTCACTTTTCAATGCATTCTTTTACTGATTCCTCCCCCCACCCCCCCTTCCTCTATAGGACTTTACAGAACTGTCAAAATGAAGATTGCTAGTTAGGTACTGTATCTATATATCAAGTTTATGTTCCTCTTAGAAAAGGCATGTAATGTTTGATCAGCATGCTGAAATTAAATCTGTATACACATTAAGTAGGGCTGTAGTGGATCTTGTATAGAATTCTGTCATTTCCATAGAATTTGTAGATGAGCCTATAAAACTTGTGGTAGGTTGATTTTGAAAACCCTGCCTGAACCGTCTTCTCATACAGCAGCATGGATGTGTATGTGCTTGGATAGAAGATTGGCTAGGAGTGACCCAACGTTAGACTACACTATTCCTACTTCTCCCCCATCCTTTGGCCTTCCAGGCGTTACTGTTGGGGTCCATTTTGTCAGCACGTGGGGAGCCAGGCAGCAAGAACTCTTAGGGGGCAATTTGACTGCCTAAACATAGGAGTCTCATGCCAGTGAGGACACCCTGGAGCTGGCAGATGTGATGTGAGATCTACAGGAGTAGATCTGGAGTGTGAGATGGAGGCTATTAGATGAGATAACATAAGGAATATAAGGAATCTAAAATGGCATCTGACTCTGATGGTTAGACAGCTGAATTGCTCTCTCAGTGACTTGGGCTGCATTTTCTCATGCACACATCACCAGAAATCTTTGTCTAGTGATTTTAGATAGAAGGCCTAGGGATGGAACCCCATGATAGTTCACTGATAGTCCTGTAGGTCATCTAGTGAACCTCTAGGAGACAGGTTGTAATGGACAGGACCGTTATATCAGGATTTCTGCGTCTCTTGCTTGACTGAAGTCTATGCAAAATCTTAAGACATCTCTTCTTGACAGGGTTTACGTTCCCTTTTAAACCTTCACTGGATGTCATTCTAGTAACGTCAGTATAGCAAGATGACTACAATCTTCTTTATAAATAACAGACCTGGAGTATTCACAACTAATTAGACCAGATGCGGTTGACAGTTTAAGTGTTTTTTCCCCGAGTTCTTGTTTCAACATTTCTCTCTTTCTAATCAAGTGCAATTTCTTATTTATTTATTTGTTGGGAGGAGGTGTTTTGTTAAGAATTCATGGCTAAAATTTGTACTGGAAAAGGTCCAAAACTGTCCTCAGGGGAGCTCGACTGGCTTTCTATTTGACATTTTTATTGAGGAATTTCTCAAATATAACATGAAATGACACCACAGGGAATTCAAACTATGATGAGATCCTTGTCTGGCTAAAAATAATTTATTTTAGCACTGTAATCACTTGAAATAGCAGTAGTTCTTTTTCAAAATTGCTCTAAATTCTGCTCAGTGGATGCAAGACTAATATTTGGTCTCATGCATTAGGTTTTCTTTATCCTTCATTTGAAACCAGTCGTGAAATATGTTTTCCCCTCTCATATATGAAATAGCAGTCTGGGGTTTTTTTTATAAGCAATTAGCTCACTGGTCCAGATGTTTTTCCTGTTTGATCATTTTTTCTCCATGGTCTTACTGATAAATTGATTTTTGCTTCTTTGTGTCTTTCACATGTTGAGGCATGCTATCAATTTTTGTTCTCTCTTGCCTTTAGGAGAGATTATGGCATAACTGATCATCCCTCCTATTAGTGCCAAACACTTTACCCATCTCATTTGTAGTAAATCAGAGTCTGTTCTCAGATACCTGGTAAAATCTGTGAATCTTTACTACAGAGTATCAATGGATAAGACTTAAGCCTTTAAAACTGGTTATATAAAATATACTCCCTGCTCTGATTCAGTATGACACTTAAAGGTGTTCCTAATTTGCCTAGGTTTTTTTTTACATTCTTGGTTTAATATTAAGTAAGAAGACTGGACTTTTGCATACGTGTAAGTGCATTATTGATTGGAGGCCTCTTTGGCAGTTGAGCATACTTGTACTCTGTCTTTGAGTCCTCTTGGAGGCTTTCAGTAAGACAGATAGCAGATAACAGAGGAGGTAGATTGAGCCTGGTTGTTGTAAGCCTGGGTGTTGTACAAAGTGAGATACACAATGGATGGGGATGCCATAGAGAAGGCTTGAGCATTTGTCTTCCTTTTCAGTGAGAATTTCAGGGGAGCTTGGCATAGCTGCCAGTATGGTGACTCCAGAATGTACCCAGGAGGGTAAAAGAGAATTTCCTGGGTTTTTTAGTTTACTTTCAAGCTATTGGGATAGAAATTGTCATATTGAAAGAAACCCTCTGCTCCTTCAGCAGTGGTAAGGCTTCAG